CAGCGCAGCGCGGGGCGGAGCGGAGCGCGGAGCGGGGGCGGCTCCCGGCGCCGGGGCGATCCCGGGGGTTTCCTGACCGCGCTGCCGCCGCGGGAGCCGGGACGGCCCCGGGGGGGTCCCGGAGGAGCCGGGCAAGGCGGGAGCAGCAGCAGCAGCACCGGGGAAGAGGCAGCGGTGGCTCCTAAGGGCTTCGGCTGCCGGCGCTCTGTGCACCGGGCGATTGCAGCCCGAGCTGCCACGGAGCCGTTATGTAACCCCCGCGTGAAGGATGAGCCGCGTTGGAGCCGTTCCCGCGGCGTGTCAGCTGCCTGCGACAGGCTTCCCACTCAGRCATTCGTGTTTTCTTAAATCCTGCTTGTTGCTAATGCCACTAACCTGGGACATCACCCCTGCTTCACCTAGTCACGATTCGAGATTACAGCCTAAAATGCTACTCTGACTCAATGTCTGTCCTAGTGCCTAGTCCAACTATACAAATCAGTGGAAGAGGTGATTATGTGGGGCTGAACATTGCTGAGACGAGACAGAGGTGATAAAACAACTACTGCCTYGGTTTCCCTCTCCAATCTTTCCAAGCCACCTCAACCCATTTCTTCCCAGTTGCTGCCCCAAGCCTTACATTGCCTTAGCCCACACTTTTGCAGAGTTCACAGATTCACARAATATTTAAGGTTGKAAGGGASCTCTACAGATCATCTAGTCCAACCTTCCTGCTCAAGCACSCACACCTAGARCATGTGGCACAGGGCGGCATCCAGGTGGGTTTTGAAGACCTCCAGAGAAGGAGACTCCACAACCTCCCTGGGCAGCCTGTTCCACTGCTCTGTCACCCAAACAGTAAAGAAGTTGCTCCTCACCTGGAGAAGGGASTCCAGGTTCATTTAACTCCACCTGGAGAGATTAAACTCTGAACATTTTAACTGTAAGATAAATTCAATCTCAAGTCACTAAGTGCAGCAAACTAATTCGTATTAAATGTATTTGATTATCTGCTTTCTACCACCCTTTAAAAGCATCCTTCAGGAAAGCACTCATAGGAGTGCACATAGTTACAGAGCAGCAGAAGTGCATTAGGAAACCAGCTTCACTACAGCATTATTACTGGAGAATTAATGCTAGGGAGGTCTAAAGCTATCTGCTTAATATACCCACTCTCTATCAGATGAAGGCTTTGAATTCTGAATTAATCACCATGTAGCATARCTTCTATTGACCACACTTATAGAAGAGCAAAAAGACACAATAAGAGCAGCTAAACAGTATGGGCTGTTTGCAGGGTTTGTTGCAGGTTCTGTTGAAGCCTAGAAAACYCAAGTGTGAGATGGGTGTTTGCTGGGCTGGGAGAGAGCACCTGAAACGCWATTACTTAAATGAGACTTGTCTTCTGTATGTGTCTTGTTCCACAGATTTTCAAGGTAAACCTTGGTCTGTTCCTTACATTGTTGATTTAAAAATAGATGTGATTTTAGGAAGCATAAAGTCAACTTACGAAATGAGTGTTTTTAACTTGCTCTTGCTTCTGAAGGTCTCTCCTTCCTCTTAAAACTCTCAATTGGTTTGTCTTCTACTGCCAAATCTTTTCCCCAATGGAATGCACATTCTTGGTAGGTATGTACAAGAAAAAAAGTATGCTTTTATGAGTACCTATGAGTACCTTACTTATAGGAATAGGCACATAGTTTGTGTGAATCAAGCCAAGCGCTGCAGACAGCTGGCAGTCTGTGCTGAGGTGTTTCCAGATCCACCTGTGGTTGTGGAGGTGCCAAGTAGCAGAAATGCAGAAGCTGCGTTTACCCTGCTTGAGCACTTAGATAGCATGTAAATAGTATTTATCAGGCATCTTTTAGTCTTTCCATGTTGGAACTGAAAGTATCTGTTCCACTGCCTCTTGCTTAGCCTCTGGACTCTGCAGCTCCTCAGATTTTGCTACCTTCTTACTGGTATAAAAGAGGGAATTTTCCTCTCTGGTCGGTATTATTTAACTCTTACCAGCAGAGCTAACAAATAACACTAGTTACAGATTTAGGGTTTTCTTTTTTCTTTAAAAAAAAGAAAAGTGTCCTGCTACCGGCTGCCGCTATCTGCCTGCAGTGCTCTGATTCTCTACTATGTCTTAGCTGATAGTGGTTTGTGAAGTATGAAAACCCCAGACTGATTTTGCTGGAAACTAGACTGAGCTTGCAGCTGGATAAAACTCGTTCTGACTTTTAAACCAAGCAAATGAAATAATGAGATAACAGGTGAGGAATAGATTTAAGGCTATTACATGGTGGCCTTAAGCTAGATCCCTGGAGCAGGGCAGGGTTGGGGCACTGCTGCAGGTTCTGAGGGCCTTGGGTGTCACTGTGAGCCCTGTCACTTTGTCATCACCCCTTTGCTGTAGGTTACAACTCCTGGTCAGTGCAGCAGGAAGCATGAGAGCTTCTTGCCTGCCTACGCACAAAACTGTGCAGCTCATGGTAAAGTCAGTTTAAAAAAGATTGATTTTGCACCAAAACAGGTAAAAAGCCATGGAAAATAATAAGCTCTCAGCAGAAAGACCRTGGCAAAACCCTCAAGGGTGGTAAGAACTCATACAGCAGAAGCTGTTTTTCTGTCTCTTTCCTGAGGGCTTGTAATTCTTCCAGAATCTGAGGGACAAAATAAAAATCACCAGAAATATTGCGGTCCGCCTCATTTTTAGGATTTGTAAATTGTGTTATCATGCATGTCCATAAAGTTTTCACGGTCTGATGGCTATGTCCCCAATAACCATCAAAAATATTCCACTGTCTTCTAAGATATATTATTATTCTTTGTCCATAATAGTCATGTGTTCGCAGCTAAACTATACAATTCTTTCTCTGTCCTGAAATGTCAGAAACTGTAGGCAGTTAAACTGCAAACACAAGTACATTTGTACCTCAGCCTGAATACCAAACAAAAAGCAGAGTGCTTTGTATACATGTCTACCTGGGTCAGCCTCTTTGATTCTGAGATGACATTAGCTGCAGAAACTCTTCCTTTAAGGTAAACCAATATTAGCAATTCACATAAATCAGTAAACAAGAGCTACAGAATTTTATCCTTTTCTCCTCTGAATTTTCTCCCAAATTGTCTAGTTCCATAGCTCTATTCTTTCTGTCATTCACCATTTTCTACAACTTACCCTAAAACAACAAATAATGAAGAATGAAGAGAATAAGAAATTTGGAATAGGGACATAATTTGTTTCTGAGTAGATGTCTATGTATATGTATGAGTACCTCATGGGAAACTCCTAAACCTGAATAAGTCATTTCTTAATTACTAGGATTCACTGCAGAAACAACTARCTTGTATTTTTTGTCATAAATTTGTATGATAGCACATCTCCAGAATGCTTTAACTGGTTGCCTAGAGAAAGATTACGTAACAGGTTTGTACTACTTTAGGTGTTCACAGACACTTATGGTAAATAAGAGGGAAAATAGTCACTATATTAATCCATGTGCAGATATAGCCAGTGTGATTCCCTGATTACACAGAAGATTACACAGAAAAGGGAAAGCCAAACCTAGAAGTTGAAGATACTTTACACAGAAATCTGACTAGAATACCTGAAAGAGCGATGCTATGGACCAAACACCATCTTTTGCACCTTTTAGAATTTTACTGAGAGTTTTTACTGAATAACTGTCCCAGTGTTAGATAACTGATTATAATTACATTGCATAAAATAAGCAGGAGTGACCGAGAACAGAACATTTTCCTTATGCTTCCTCACTGGAGGCCCATTACCATTGAACTCATCAGGAACTATATAAAGAGCCTTTCCTTTTAGAAGGAAAGAATTATGCCTCCAGCACATACTAAGAGCTTATACAGATTCCTGATAGGTCTTATTATATACCTCAAATCTACTGCTGCCTGTAAGTGATCTTGGTTCTTCATGTGACAAGTAAGACGAGCTTAATTTCTGTGTAGACCTGTAAAAGTATTTTGGAATGAGCCTTGAAACCAGCCAAGACCCAACACTGCCAAATAATTTTGTATGTTTAAGAATGGTTTGAGGAGTGTTGATAATTTTAATAAGCCTGATAATTTTGTCAAATATTCAGAGTTTTTATGAGAAAACAAGTGTAGTATACCAGTCAAATTTCATTTTAGGGTTCATTTGACATAAAACCTGACCTGCCTCCAAATTCTTACAGATCAAGCACTAAGAAACGTCCAGATGAACAAAACAAGCCGTTTGTAATTACTTAACATCAACAACCAGATGAGTAAGCAAAACCAACGTGTCAAAGAATCCCTAAAATCAAGCCTATCTCAAGAGTAGATTTAGCATTAGGGTAACTCTAGAGTTTGCAGGAAGCCAGTTAAGATTCAAAGTGTTTTACCTGTTGTGTATGAATCCATATGACTGTGTACGGAATCTAGAAGGATCCTTCCATTGGGGGATGCCTGATGTCTCAGTATATTGTGGATGATTTCTCTCCACAGTTGGTGCTCTAATGAGTTAAAAAAAGACACACACATGAGCTCAATGGAATTACAAACCTCCATTGGCTTGATGGCATCAAACACGGCTTCATTGCCTTGGATATCATATCTAAACATTCATTAAACATTTCTGTTTAGTCACCACAGAGCATCTACAATTGGCTCGTGATCATGCCTAATTAGACAGTTCTKCTAAATATTAAAATAACCGTGGATTTCAGTAGTTGCCATTTAATGAAATTGTGTCAAATGTATAGGCTGCAAATTTATCAGGTTTGAGCTATGGGCTTGGAGCCATCTCGTGGCCCAGAACTTCACTGCAACGTGAGCAGCTRCCACAGGGCATGGGCAGAACTGGCGTTTACATTTACAATATATTCTGATCTGCTCAATGGCAGACTATGAC